ATATTAATCAGATGCTTAAGACTGATAACGTGAAAATGTAAAAGCTCTCCTAAAAAGTTGATTTTTTTTGAAGGTCATTCATAAAAGTTTGATTAAAAGCTAAAAGTAAAATCACACAATTCCACATGAAACAAGCTAGCCAGGCCAATTGTCAAAGTGGGTCCATAGTTAATCACATTGCTTGCCAAGTTAATATTAACTCGACAAGTGGCCCATGAAATGGCCAAGGGTTGCATATTAGTATTATTATGGGAATAACTTGACTACCTACAACCATGTAGGGTCCAAATTTGTTTCCCTTTTCTCACCTATTGTCCCTCTTTTTTGTGTCTACTACATTTTTCAACCATTATATCTATTTCCCTTTTCGTTATGTATGTCTGATAGAGGAAAGAAATAGAGGGGAGAAAGAAGAAAAATAAGTAAGAATTTGAGTAAATTTGAATATGATTGGGGAAAGGGAGAAGATTAATCGATTATGATGGTTTTGATGGGGAAGGGGCAAAAACAATATAAAAAGAAAGAAAAAGAATCTGTTTAAACTTTGCACAAATCATCTCATTCTAGTGATTCTTTTTTTTTTTTTTTACCATGCGATGAGTCCCACAAAAAATCTAAATCATTCACTGTGATTCCCGTTTATCAAATAACCTATTACAACAATGTTTTCATACTTTCCCTTGTGGTAGTAATTATAGTAAAACAGCAACTTATTTTTTTGCAATATTTTTCACTTATGGCGGATAATTCACAAGGTGCTATGCTATACAAATTTCACGTGGCGCAATTTGATGGATACAATAATATTCATGCATGTTCATAATTCGACCTAATGTATGCAATATGCAGAGTCAGGTATCATAGGTGGCTTACACCATCATTAATTCGTTTTTCAGTACCATGTAAAGAGACTACACAGACAACAAAAGAGAAAAGAGAAAACAACAAATGTCCCAAAGAAAAATAAATGATTGCCACTTTCATATATTGTTCATTCCAATTTTCTAGGAAACATAAAAATCCCAAGGGAATCATATAAAGCAGTCACAAAGTGACAAAGGAAACATTTAAAGTTTCTTAACAATTTTGAAATTTTAATTGTTTTATATTATAAATTTTAGCTTTTATTATTAAAGATGAAAAAGGTCTTTGTCTGTTCTTAATTCTTATTTTCATATAGTTAGTTATTTGTCTTTTTTCATTATATTTATATGACAATTATTTTATGATTTTTAATATTAAATTGAATTAATATTTTTAATTAGTAATCTAATGAGAGAATTAGTTCTTTAATTTAATTATTTTGATTCATCTTCAAAATTATTTAATAAACATTAAGTGTAATATAATATTTTTTAATCCCCCTTTATTTATATTTATATTATTTTAATACCAAAACAGTAAATAACTCTAAAAATATTTTTAAATTTATATTTTTTATTTACACATATATATCCATGTAACTATGGATAACTTTGGTCTTTGGTAACGCTGAATGCTTTTCTTTTTGGCCCAAATACGTGATTAAGATTTGATTATTAATTGACTATTGAATAGATAAGAACATTAAAATAATAATAATAAATATTGTATTAATATAAAAATAATTATCACATATTACTTTTGTGAAATTAAAATAGTTGGTACACCCTTTTGATGAGTAGTTTATATTAGTACGAAACAATCCTTTCGAATCTTGAACTATTGACGTGGATGATAATAATATCACTGAGGTAAATTTTGAGAGTACGCAAAGGTCATGATTTTACGTAAGAATTTCATACCAATATGCATTTCCACATATATTTTAAGAGCCATTGATTTCATGTGAAAAACATGCTCAATTATTCTCTTTTTATCGTGTAAAGACTGGTTCGTTTCTTATAAAAATTAAAGTGATGCAATTTGTAAAAAAATTGCAAAAATTAGAAGACTCTTATTTCATTTCTAAAATGTTATTTCCAGACAGAAAATCATGTTTATTTATTGAATTTAACTCCTCAAAGTAAATGATGTACTATAATAATAATCGTTAATTAAAAAATTAATAAAAAAAAATTGTAATAAAATTAAATATATACAATAAAATTTAAAATTAACTATAATATTTATTTTAATTTTTTAATCAATAATTATCGTTACACTTTATTTTTTAAAATAAAATCTTCTCACTTTAAAATAGATAAATCGTTATTTATTCCTTACTTTCTTTAGTTTAGAATAAAATTCAAATGTTCTCCCTCTTTACCCTTTAGGTTAGATAACTCTTTATTTATTCTTTATTTTATGGTTGCTGACTTGCTGTTTTAAGTGTTGGGCCTGTTGCCATAAACATTTGGCACACTGTCTACGCACAAGTGGACCTTGAATGTAATGTTATAAGAAAAAACAAAAAAAAAATCATGAAATATACACTTTTTTTAAATTATTTATTTATAAGTACATCTTCTTTATTATTTTTAATTTTTTTTATAAATATTCTTAACTTTTTATTTTTTAATTATTTTAATTTTATACCTCTAACTTTTAAATTTATATTTTTTTATATACTTTCTTTTTCTTTATCTTTCCACACTCTTTATCTATTTCAGTAGATAGTTTTATTTATCTTGATTTTCATATTATTCTCTTTCACATTCATCTATTTCAGTTTTCACATGCACTCTAACTATATAATTAATGTGCAATTGTAAGTATGTGCAATTTTCTTGACAGCTTCGAAAGTACTAAGCTAGATGTATGTTTTTCTTCAAATACTTTTTCCCCTTTCATACCTCTAGAAATCTTATAACATTAAATTTAGTGTTCTAGAAAATATTTTTCAAAATTTTGTTTTTTTACATATTTCTGGGAAGTGTTTTTCAAAATACTAAATTTATTATTTCGAAAAGAACTTTTCAAAATTATGTAAGATCACATTTTTTAAAAGTACTTTTTGGAACATTAATTTTATTATTTAAAAAAATCTTTTCAGAACTCCAAAATTAATGTGCTGAACTACATTTTTCAAAAGTGTGTTATTTTACATAATTTCACAAAGTTCTTTTTGGAATACTAATTTTAGTATTTCATAAAGTAACTTTTAGAATAGTAAACTTCATGTTCTAGAAAGTGCTTTTTGAAAGTGTGATTTTATATTATTTCAAAAAAAAATTTCGGAACAATAAATTTAGTATTTTAAAAAATACTTTTCGAAAATATGTTAAAAACACGATTTTGTAAAACACTATTTTTACTATTTTGAAAAGTAATTTCTAAAACACTAAAATTATTTGAACACTAAATTTAATGCTTTGCTTTCTAGACACATAAATGAGGAGAAATGCTCAAAGAAAAAACTTACACTAGGCTTGGCATCTTCGACGTTATTGAAAAACTCACACTGTCTACAATATTGTCAAAAATCAATTATACATCATGAGTGCATATGAAAGCTAAGAGAGAGGAGGGAGATAGTAATAATTTGAAAACTAAAAAGAGAGAAGAGAAAGAGTAATGAAAAAATTGAAATAATTAAAATTATCTACTGAAATAAGTGGAAAGTGAGGAAAAAATAAGGTATGTATGTGAAAATTGAAAAGAGAGTGGAAGAAGATATATGAAAAAGAAGAAAAAATAAATTAATTAAATACTGGAGGTATAAAATAAAAAATAAAAAAAGAGAGAGGATATTTTTGAATGTTTTTTTGAAAGAGGTATATCGAAAAAAAAAGAAGGTATATATATGAATTGAGCCATATAGTTAGAGCTATTAATTTATTTGGTTTTTAAGTTTTTTTTAATCACATTTTTATTTTTGTAACACATGAATGTATAATATTTGTCACAAATAAAATATGTATGTATATAATGAGTATGACTGTAAATAATATTTGTTATAATTAAAAAATATATGTAGATAATGAGTATGAGTATTTTATATACATGTATGTTAACATATATGGACGGTTATCATAATATTTGTATGTGAATATATGCTAATATTAAATTATTTAATTTATGTAATTTTTTTTTAAATTATGCGTGTTAAGAAATTTTATGTAATTTTTTTTATGGAAGTTTGCAAGCTTTTTATACAAATTTTATTTTATACAATTTTTATGCATATTTTTTTTCTCAATTTTTATGCATTTTTTTTATTTATACATACTTTGCGTAAATTTTTATGCTAGATTTTTTTGGTAAATACCTGTCCACACCCATAGATATTAAAAGAATTGTGAATATCCAAGTGGATATGGGAAAGGATGCAGAGCTTATATTTATCCGACGAAAGAATGATGACAACGTGCTAGTACATGGCCGTCCTGTTCAGGGATGGCAAAACGGGCTAGTCGCCCATCAATATAAAACAAGTTAGGGATGCTAGCCCGTTTCATTTAAGGACAGATTGGTAAGTTGGTGGGCCAGACCACATACAAAATATATATATATAAATATATATATATATATATATATATATTATGTTCAAATAAAAAAATTTGTTACAAATAAATAAATATAA